ATGCAACCCTAAAAATTTATTCAATGAAGGGAAGAAAAATGTATTTAACGAGAAAGGAAAATCCCATCAAAAGAAGTGGCAGCAATTAAGAAACTCTCGATTTAAAAATGCCTAACAAAAACAAAAATATTTATTCTAAAATAATATATATGTATATAATGTTACAAAAAGTACCACGGGATAAAAGGGGACGTCGGTAAAAACTTTATTATTGCTGTTGCTACTGAATCTTTATATGTAGATACCTAAGTCATCTGCCAAATTCTAATTATTCAAGCTAAATTGAGTAATGATCAATTCGCATAGAACTTTTACTTAGCTTTGCGTCAGACATTGGTTTTGACAGGAAAGTTCGATGTACGCTTTTGTATGAGCAGGTTCACATAAAAAGTTTCAATCCGAACCCAAGCAAAATGTTGGACAACTCTGCTCTTTTTACGCTTTGTCAAGCAACAGTCGCCATTTTTATTAGAGAGAAACACTGAAAGCAAAGCGTTCATTGTAGCATACTCTTTGTTTTCTGAACTATGTTGTTACAGTATGAACTGTCACGCATAGCGAGAAAAGTTGTATGTGAATGAGCCTTAAAGGCCTCACGTAATTGAACTGTTTGAATACAATAGTGTTGGATTCAACCAGTTTTTAGGATGTTGTTAGATTACTGCCATATCAAATCGTTTCCAATTTAGCCTTTAAATAGGGAGTAATCGATTTTTACGGGGTTTCTTCATTTAACGACGAAATGTTAAATCACGTGATTATAATAATAATATTGAAAAATAATAAAAAAATATGGGCAATGTACAAGAATATACAATAATTATTTTGGCTCGAACCAACAAGTTCAGATCGTAACTCCTTGTATGTTTGAGTGTGTATGTAAGTGCAAATACATGTGGACATATGTATATAAGTATACATACATATGTATATATCCGATTCGATTTGCAATGTTGATAAGAGGCACTTGACTTTAATTAAATTGCAACAACTGATGAGAGTATTCATCAATGTCGTCATGCACCAACCAACCACACAAGCAAAGAGTCTGATAGACAGACAGTCAGCCAGCCAGCCAACTCACAAATGAACCTGCTATAGCACCAGTCAACAAGCTGAAACATTCGAGCGTTCTCTTGTTTGGCTCGAGCGTGTACTTACACACACTTATACAGTCTCACTGAATACATATTTTAACAGGAGCACATATTAAAGCATAGATGTGTACATGTACATTCGCATACATATATAGTATGGTTGTTTGTAGATATGTATATACTCGCACGACATAATCAATCAATAAGATTTATGCGTTCCAACTTAAGATAAAACTAATCAATCTTCATGTGACGGCAAAGAAAACGCATAATGATGAAAATTTTCGAAATGATGTTGAGAATTTCGACAAAAGCATGACAAAGAGAAAAAAGAGAGAGAGAGATAGACAGACACTTGATATGTATTGTTTGTGCAGACATGGCACAAAAATTATTTCATCTTTTTCATACTTTTGCTTTTAAAGTTATGCGAGTGTTTTTGCAAAGCCGTTCGATATTGTGGAAACTAGTGCTATGTCAGCATCTCTGGAAAAAAAAAATTGCATGTTTTTTATTTGAGCTGCATAAATTGCGCTTTTATTTCGAAGAATTTCATCATTCATCCGCTTTTCATTGTGTCTACGTGCAATGTAGTGACAAAAAAACAGAGTTATACTAATAAAGTCTCAGTTGAAGGTATCTGGCTCTATATCACAAATGATTCGCTAGATATTCGACTTAAGTGGGTCATCCCACGTGGCGGCTTATTTTTAGGGATTTTTTAGAATTTTTTTTCTACGACCAGTAAATAGTTAGAGCTTTAGGTTTATTATCATTTATTAACATATATTTCGACAGTTTAAATATAAATTGTAAACTAAAAATATTGTGTAGAACATGTCTTCTGAACACCCCCAGGCTCGCACTTCCTCCATGATTCCGGCTGATTGACTTATCTGGAACAAAAACAAAATAAGCTTCGTTTTAATCTGTAAGCCTAAATGCACGAAATGGACTATTATCAAATGATTGTACGAAAAATTTAACTTTTGACAGATATTTGAAAAAAAAGTTTTATTTTGTATTTTGATTTTTGATTGATAATAGTTCATGTGCTGAGTGTACCCTACAAATTTCAAGTCATTCGGTCAAACCGTTTTTGAGATACGATGGAGGAAATTTTTAAACACACAGTTTTGAGAAAAAACGCGTTTAAAGTTTCAAGTCTGCCAACTCAGCGCTCTGAACAGCTCCTTCTTCTAACTGTTGTATCTTTAAAACGAGTTCGAATTTTTAAAAATTACTTTTATACCTTATTATAGATGTGTTAAAAAAGCAATTTATGAAAAAAAAATCGATTTTTTGAGCCCATCCTTATGTTAAAAGAAATAATCTTAAATGGTATGTAACATATCGTTATCCAAGCAAAGATATTATCAAACCGAACTCGATATATGTAGATATAAGATCTTTGGTTAAACGACACAATAAAAAGTTCCGATTATTTTCAAGAGATTTTTAAGTTTCCTATTAACATACATATATAATATGTGATTGAAAAAAGTGAGGGGCGGCCCCACACCCTATTCATATGTATGACTAACATATTATTCAAGAGACTCCACAAAGTTGGAGGTGAGGCCGCTCACCGTATCCATATGTATGAGCTGAGATAACGATATGAGGTCCTAAAAATCTATTATTCAAGAGACTCAACATGTTTTGCAATTGTTTCGTTGCTCTTTGCATTCAAAAAGTTCAAATTAAACATTTTCTAAATGTTAATTTGTTATAAATAATGTGCATTCGTTGACAATTGTGACATTCAAAGGTGAAAACGGAAATCGTTTCAGCGTGCTAAATTAAGATTCAACTATGTAAATTTCAGAATGTTTCAATTTTTTTTTAGGTCACACAGGAGTTAAGCAACTCCTTCAGTCTTGTTATGCTGCGAAATTTAATTAAAAGTTTTAAGTTGTGCAGTTTACAGCGGTGTTTGCGGTGGACAAAATAGTTTGGCAGATTAAAATTTTACAACAATTAGTAGTAATACTGCTTTATTTAATATATTTATTTATTGGTTAATTGTTTTTATTGTTGTTAAAACGAGATTTTAGTGTGACGAAAGTAAGGTCACTGCTGCGGCACTTAAAATAAATTACGAATACTAATACTAATAATTTATTTTAGATATATTTTTCAATAAAGTGGCATTCACCATTATATTCAATGAGTATGTTCATAGCAACTTTTTTTTCAATTGCCTGCAAAATTCCGGTTCATATAAAAAGGTTTACGTCAGGCTGATAAAGAAATATGTGAAGCATTTTTGATAGCTGTTTCACTCCTACCTAATCATTCGTGGGGCCTTTGACCTTACCTATATTATATTCCAAGAAATCCAGCAATATTAGACATTTGTGCGAACTATCACCTCGTCACCTATTTCTAATTCGATGGAATTGCAGAACGGAGTTCTGTTTCTTTACAGATGCCCCTGTTTTTCAAGAGGAACTTTTTCGGCTATAACAACAAAGTGAAAAGTATTATTATTTTTTTTTTTTCTATATTGATATTTGGAGTGGTTTTATTTCTTAAAAACAGCTGTTTTTGCTCACTAACATTGCTGACTCCTGACTATTCATTTCATTCATTTGGAATTTTAGACAAATTGAGAGAAGTTTAGTGCCAAATAATTAGAGAAATACAAGAAAAAACGTTAACTTCGGTTGCATCAAAGCTATAATAAATACCCTTCACAAATACAAAAGAATACTTACAATCAAGAACTTGATTTTAATCGTTAAATTTGCATGGCAGCTATATGCTATAGTGATACGATCTGAACAATTTCTTCGGAGATTCCATTATTGCCTTAGATAATGATCCGTTCGAAATTTCGTGAAGGTAGCTCGTAAAATGAAAAAGTTTTCCATACAAACACTTGATTCCAAACGTTCAATTTGTATGGCAGCTATATACTAGAGTTAACCGATAACAGCGGCTCCGAAAAATGAGCAGCTTCTTAAGGGGAAAAGGACGTGTGCAAAATTTCAGATCGATATCTCAAAAACTGAGGGACTAGTTCGCGTATATATGCAGGTAGACGAACGGACAGCCAGACGAACATGGCTAGATCAACTCAGCTCATCACGCAGCTCATTTAGATATATATTTTATAGGGTCTCCGACGCTTCCTTCTAAGTGTTACAAACTTCGTGGCAAACTTAATATACCTTGTTCAGGGTATAATGATAACTATAATCAAGTGTGAGTTCTATTATCCAAAAAATTTTATCAAATTTAGGACAAAGGAATTTCATATTTTTTTCAAGTTGAAAGTTTTGAAAGTTCTATATAAAAGTAACTATAACGCTAATATTTCAAAATTGTCAATCATTTGTATCAGATTTTTTATATAACAAAGCGCATAATTAAAATAAATATTTAGCGATTAATATTGATATCATTTATGTTCGATAAGTTATTTTTATTTGTCTACTAAAGTTGGGGTATTATATTGACATTGATAAAAGAGTACTTATCAGTAATTGCTTACACCTTCCTTGAAAACTTGATTGTCCTTAAGATAAGATAACACACCCTGTTCAAAGGAGTAATGATTTGATGTCATATTTCATATGATATTTGATTAACAAATGTGTGTAATAAAAGTTTATTTAAAAAATAATGCGTTGGCATATGTATATAAATAAATTTATGAATGTTGATTCATCTTTATACAAATAATGGAAATGTATTTTATGTATTTCACTAACAATTATATGGCTCACTCTTCGAACAAAGTTTATTTATCGATTAGTATCTTTGCTCTTCTAAATTGAATAACGTGTTATTATAGAGTCCCTATATGTATGTATGTAATTATATAACCTATACTCATATACTTAAAAGCCACTTTTAGTAACTGTTAACTTTCTAACTAATTCTTCCAATTTTCAGTCGGAGTCCTCATCATCAGCTTCCACAAAATTCGCCCTACTCAAATGTGTATGGTGCAGTCAATTATTGGGCATCAATGATCGCCCCAAACTCTTAGAATGTCTGCATGTTTCCTGCTCACAATGTGTGAATACCAAATTCTCTGAACTCGATCGCACTATGCCGCCACTTATACATTGCCCCGTTTGTAATATGGCCTCACAGAATGAGTTTATTATTGATAATCAATTTTTGATCGAACAATGCACCGCCGCTGGTGATAACAGTTTGGCCGATGGCAATTCCACAGATGCATCCAAAGCGACCGTTACGGCCAATATCACCTGTAGCAGTTGTTCGGATAATGCTATAGCGACGTCATGGTGTGTCGATTGTTCCGAATATATATGTGACAGTTGTGTGCAGGCGCATCAACGTCTCAAAATCACCAAGGATCACACAATTAAGCCAAAGGAGGAAGCCAATAATGAACAATTGCCTGGTGCTGCTGGTATAGATAAACTACACATGTGTCATCTACATCCGCAAGAGAAATTGTCGTTGTTCTGTGAGACGTGCGACAAGTTGACATGTCGTGATTGTCAGCTCAGCGATCATCGCGATCACAAATATAAGTTTGCGCATGAAATTGCTACTGAGACGCGTCAAGCGTTGAAAACGCTCGTCTCGGAAATCAACTACAAGCGCTTTCTGCTCTCTTCTGCCACAAAAGTGATTGACGATCGACAAAAACAAATTGCCGATCGTAAGAAGGATCTTATTAAGGAGATCACTGCAATGGTAGTGAAAATCACAAATACAGTTAATATGCGTGGCAAGCAGTTGGCAATGCGTCTGAATGAAGTGTGCGATACAAAAATGAAGGTTTTGATCGAGAAGAAGGACGCGTTGCAGCTGTTATCCGACAACACCGATCACTGTATCGAGTTTATGGAGAATGCTATGGAGAAAGGCAGCGACTACGCGATTTTGTCGAGTAAAAAATCTTTGGTGCGACATTTGCAGAAACTAAAGTGTCAACGAGCAGACATACCAAATCCAGAAATTCCTGTGCGTATTCAAGTGCAGTTAAATCAAGTCTCCGAACTCCAAAAAGGTGGGGAAGAATGAAATGCTTACTAACTTACATTTCGATTCAAATTTTTTCTGGTTTTCTATTGTAGTTATTTCTCAACTCGGCACTGTTATTGTGGACGGTAAACCATATCCACCAGCACCATCCACTAATGGACCGCCACGCCAACAGCCAAGTCCCAATATGGCGCCACCATTACGACCTGGTCTTCCACCCGGTATGCCCGCTGGCATGTCTCCTACTGGACCGCCAAGCGGATATGGACCTCAGAATGGACCGCCAATATACAATAACAACTCTTCAGCACAACAACAATTTAACAACATGCAAATGAGTCGAAACTATGCTGCCGAAGGCGCAGGTAAGGGTACGCCAGCATGTCGTTCGCAATTTATTACTATATCCATCTCATTTATACGCTAAGCATATTATGTATGCGGCTTTTAATTAGACAATTCTCTAATAAATTTATTTGCATTTAACGTTTACAGTTCGTTTCGGCGCAATGCCACCGGGTATGCAACGTCAAGGTCAACCACATGTTAGTTCCTCAACACATCCTCAAAATATGGGTAAGTCGAGCATATTTTTTAATTTCTTTTCGTTCTATCATTATTTCTATTGCTTGATTTTACAGACATGAGCTTGCGTGGCCTTCTAAATAATCAAGCAGCTCAGAGTTCCAATCAAGCACATATCTCATTTAATGGTCCACCGAATTATCCCGGTGGGCCACAAGGCGCAGCATCACCACACCAGCAAATGAATACCCAAATGAGGCCGCATTTTATGGGCGGTCCTCCAGGCCAACAACATCAGAATTACCCGCAGAATACGCCTGGTGGACCGAATAACCCGAATTATATAAACAATACTGCGCGCTTTCAGAACTATCAACGCATGTCGAGTCACGCGCAGCAACAGGCCGCAGTAGCGGCCATGTCAAGCGGGGCCGGTCCTGGTGGTCCATGCGGCAGTCAAATACCATCGCCAAATCCCATGCAGCGACCGCAAATCATACCCAATCCCATGCAGAATGTAAGTTGATATTTATTTTGGTTAGATAGTTAAATTTGTATATTACAAAAAATTGTTTGTAGAACCTGGGGTTTCATGGGAATCAGCCTGGCTTCAGTCCCGGGCCGCCGCAAACAGCGCCACAAATGAACAGTAGCTTGAGTAGCATGCACAGCATGGCCAAATGGCACATACCTCAATCAGCGCAACAGACAAACGGTAAATTAATATATACACAATAATGTATTTAACTAATTATTTATTGCATTACTTGTTTACATAGCTTGTCCACAACAAGGTCCTCTAATGCAGTTCGCCAATGGACGTCAAACAGAGAACTTTAAAATTTCCTTAAAATCTCCAAATACTCTAAAGAATACCACACCAAATGGCAGCTCGTCGGCACATAGTATGCAAGGCAATAGTGCGTCCAGCTTGCATGCAGCTTCGCTTGGGCTCGGACCAGCTGTTTCCATACTACCCAATGTCACATCAACGAATCCAAAGACGCCGAGCCCGAGCACTAACGAGGTGGGCAGTAGGATCATTTGCATAATTAAGCATTCACGCAACGCAGTTGCGCCGATGCTTTATTGAGTGCTATACTAAAACCGGTGTTTGCTTTATTTGTTTTTCCAAAATACAGAACGCAAAAGATTTCACTGAACCGATTGACAAGGTCCGTGACGATTCCATAAACGATCTAATAGCTACGATTGCCAAATTGGATTCGAATGGTGTTCAGGTGCTGCCGGAGGGACGTACCAAAACAACATCGCCGCAAGTGCACAGCTCAACAGACCTATCCAATACTCAAGAAGGTAAGCAAATTGCTAGCAAGCAGACTAATAGTATTGTTGTATATGTTTATGTTTGTTTGTAATCGAATATGTGCTTGATTGAATTTCGATTCAGCAAAATTGAAACAATCAACTTTTGTTTTATCATCATTTTATTGTTTACATAAGCGATTATAAACTTATTTTTGCACTTGTTTAAACATCATTCAATTCATTCGTATTTTAAATATTATTCCCTGCTGGAAAACTTTAATTGGCACACATACTAAACAGTTAACGGCATTGCATACATAAATTCCAAGCTCTCAAATAGTTTTCCAGCTTTTAGTGTTGTTTATTAGTATATTACTAGTCGAAAATCTACAATATGTGTATTTTTCATACGTAATATGCTGATTTAATCTACAATTTCATGTAAATTTGCTTTGTTTGTTTCTTTTCCAAACATATCGTATCAAATCGTATCGTAATCGAATTAAACTTCCGTCTTTTTAAATAATGCATACTAATCATTAATGCCAAAAACCAAAACAAAAAAAAATATATAAAATGAATAATGAAAAAAAAAACATCTCTATACATACAAATACAAAAATATTTCATAAAATTGCTGGAAAAAAATAAAAACTAATTAGTTAATACTAAAAATGATCAAAAAGACGACCCGAACGAAGATTGGTGTGCCGTTTGCCTTGACGGTGGTGAGCTCATGTGCTGCGATAAGTGCCCGAAAGTGTTCCATCAGAATTGTCACATACCCGCCATCAGTTCGTTGCCGGACGAAAGCGAAAGTTGGCAATGTCTATTGTGCGTGAACCTCAAAGAGCTGGCTAATAACACCGACAACACACAGAAAGCACCCGGCGAACTAAGTCGGTTGGAATTGCAGATCATGCAACGCATTTGTCTCGAATTGTATTGCCAGTATGAACAGAGTCTACATTTCCGCGAGCCAGAACCGCCTACCAATACAGCCTACTATGAAATTATATGCAAGTAAGATTTCACATTCTCCGCCGTCATTTTTGTAAGCAGTCATAAAGTGATTTCACTTCAAAATTTGTTTGTAGCCCCATGTCTTTGGATGTTATACGTACCAGATTGGATCCGACCAGCCCAAATCATTATAAGGATATCGCTGGCTTTGTATCAGATGTGCGTCTAATATTTAAAAACACCTATCTCTTCTATCAAGTAAGTACATTTTAAATAATGCCAGCAAGCCAAACGTTTATATATACTTTTGCGAGAACTTGTAAATAATTGATTGTATTTTGCGTTAGGAGGACTCAAAAACATTCACAAATGCAAAATATTTGGAGAACTTTTTCGAAGAACAATTATCCAAATGGCTGCCAAACTTCGCCAGCAAAACAAATTCAAACACAACCAATGGCAGTGCCAATACAAACAGCAACAATGCCGCAAGTCTCAGCAATAATAGTGCTTCCACATCCTCTGCAGCTTCGCCAGGTCTCATGAATTTAGCAACCGGCCCCTCGGCTTCACCCGGTACTATTGCATCAATGGAGAATGGTCGAAAGAGTTGCATTGCAGAATTCCGGCTAGACGATGACTCGTGCATTCCGGCGAAAAGATCACGTAAACTAACCGAATAGGATAAATTTAATCAGCTACTTAACAGCATGCTAGCAACAATCAATAGTGGCAATGAAAGTGAAGAACTGCTCGCGCTGCTCAGCCTATGTTGCCCACCACAGACGCAGCCGAGTCTACTTTTGTAATGGCCAGTCATTTGAGCGAAATGTGATGACAAAAGCAAGGACTTTCAAAAATAGTTAACGCTAATGCACAAAATTAGTAAAGCAAAAAATAATAACAAAAAAGTGCGCAGAAAAAACTTGAAACTTAGCGAAACTTACGCATGTGCAAGATAAAAAAAACCACATGAAAAATATGAATTATACGTGTTTGTTTTCGAAACCTCAAAATACGTATCGTTGCAGATTTGCTTTAGTGCAGAGCAAATTGTACTCATTTAGCATAATAATTACAAAGATTTTATTGGCATCGAATTTACACAAAACATGTCACTGCGCACGCGCACTGCATTATGGTAAGCTGGCTTCTGAACTGTATCGAATCAACATTGAGAAGCTTCCCTAAGCTATTGAAAACAATAAGCGTTAAATAATACTTTGATGCGAACCACTAGCTGTTTAAGTATAGACATTATTTGAAAGACATCGTTTTGAAATTAACTAATATTAATATATGTTGTAAATTTAATAAGATTACTTAAAGTAAATAACAAAAAAATACATTTTTGAACTTGAAAAAAAAACACACACACATACACTATGGTAGTTATAATATTTAGTGGTAGTTAATAATGTTTAGAAAAACAAAATACACTTAATAATAATATCTAAACTAAAGCTGCACCCTAAAATAATTTTAAGAAAGTGAAGAACAAAGAATAAACACATCTTCATTGTATAGAAAAATCACAAATAACTCTACATTCGTTGCGCACGTTATACGCATACTCAATTGTAAATAAAAAATTATATATAAATTACCGAAACGTACCAAACGCACTTGGAATCAAAAACAAAAGCAAACAATGCAAAATTAGAAAAAAGACAATTGTTTAATTACCCTAGTACACTAAATTACCAAAACTTATTAAATTGAACTACTAAAACAGGCAACACGTCGCCGCTGCGTAACGATTTCATTAATCATAATGTTACATAGTTTAAGCAAAGTCTCATTCGCTGCAAATAATTTTGATTCGTAACTCAATTACCACGCATGACATAAAGCTGGCAAATTTTTCAACCATATCGCTACTATCATGCATATTTTCCAGTAATACAGCACATAAAATGTGTTTCACAAGCTAAGCTATTGTGTAACAGGCGTTCCTCATGACCTTTACAGCCCGCAACATATATTATTTCTGCAATTTGATTATACCTACCATGATTAAAATGTTTTCACAACCTGTATATAAGTGAATCATTATAACTACTTACATAAAGCCAGAAACGATTTTCCATAAGTGGCAGCTTTGCAATAAATCGTAAGTTTGTGATAAAATTTTAGAACAACAAAACATAACGTAACAAAAAATGTGGAAAAGTTGCGGAAAATTCGCTTAAATGAACATTTTAGTGCTTGACATATATAACTATGTCTGCATTACTGTCATTCTTGCGCTATATTTATGCAAGCATATATCTTTTTTTCTGCTGCTGCAACTAAACTAAATAGACAATGGCAGTGCAAAGCCACAAATCATATAAATTATAAATATAAATAAAAAGCATAGCGTAGAATTATTGTAATTAAACTCCTCATACCAAGTATTTAACATGTAAAAAAAGAGTAAACTTAAGACACACAAGTTTAGTAAACTACTCCAAATAACCAAGTTAAAGTAGTTTCATAATATTGCGACAAAAAAGTATTTAACATAACATAATTTAGTATTTTAATTTCCACTGAGTCTTTATTTTCTCTTTTGATATATTATATACATAGCTATGGTATAAATAACTGCTGTCCAGTTCATCATGACCACTATATATAGACGCATGAACGCATACTAAAATAGAATTGAAATTAAGAAGAAGTGAAACTCAAATGCGTGTTATTTAAGAATTTTATTTAATATTTTATGCAAATTGTACATGCCAGTAGTTGTTTTCTCACTATTATTATTAATATTATTATTTTTTGCTATTTAAGACTATAATTTACACTCACTAATAAACACAACACGATCAAATACTGATTATGCATAATTAAACACACATACACAAACATATAATGTCTGCGGGAAGACCTTTACAATACAAAATTACTGTCAAATTATAAGACAACAAACTAATGAAAGGCTTATTAATTTATGTGCAGCAATTTGTAGCAAATTCAATTCGACGCGTTAGCATAAACACATATGGTATTGTACATACCTATCATGCAAATGTATGTACATTTACATAATGATTTTATATAAGCATTCTGGCACCTTGCTCCAAACACACACGTATAATATGTATGTATAAATACGTATGCATGTATTTGTGTAGATGATTAACTAATATGGTAAACTAAACTTTGTAGATTTTATCGTAGATATAGGTTTACCTATAATTTATAAATATTGGCAAAGTTGTAATGCTAATGCGTGTGAAGTGTTGCTTACTATGATGAGAAGATGCTTGGTTTAGTTTAGGCAATACATGTGCATGCATATGTTTGTGCACGTATGCATGTGTGAGATATGTTATGAAATCTAATGTCTACTGCACTATTTCTAAGCAAAAAAATATGAATTAATAAACAACTGAATATTTAATGTAAAACCATAACTGAAGTTTATCTTTACTGCGGCGATTATCGCAAATTTGTTAAGTTTTACTAAATTATAAATAATTTAATAATATGTATGCTAATTATGCAATAAGTATTGCCATACAGTTCAGTATTTATTGTAATTTTGTTGCAAGATGCCTTTATCTTACAATAGAAACCGTTGATCAATGGAAGTCTTCGTTGTTACATTTTGGCGTTGCCAAGCCATGTAGAGATGTTGGAGCAGCTGTAAAAAAAAATATTTATTAAAACTATAAGGTGCTTATAAAGTATGTATGTAAAGTGTAGCAAACAAAGCCAGGCAACGTTTTATTTTGCTCCTACGACAGCGTCTAAGTAACTTCGGCAATTATATTTATAACCATCAAAAGACCGCAAACGTTTGCCAATATCATTCGCGAAATATTTTCTGCTAGTACTACAACAACAGGGTGGTATATTCAGTTTGCCACAAAGTTTTTAACACACAGAAAAAAACGTCGGAGACCCTACAAAGTGTATATAGTTATAAATGATCAGCAAGACGAGCTGAGCCGATTTAGCCACTTTCTATCTGTCCGTCTGTCTGTATATATGTGAACTAGTCCCTCAGTTTTTGAGGTATCTATCTGAAATTTTGCACACTTTCTATTTTCCTCAAGAACCTGCTCACCATACCACATAGTTGCTATACAAACTGATCGTTCAAAATCCAGTCTTTATATGAAAAACTTTTTAATTTCCCGAGATATATTCACAATCATTTGGCATGGATTATTGTCCAAAGCAACGGTACAATCTCCAAAGAAATTATTCAGATCGGACCACTATACCATATAGCTGTCATATAAACTGATCGATAAAAACCCAATCCTTGTATGGAAAACTTTTGTTTTTGTACATACATGTTTTCAGGTATACCTTGTTGAGTATATAAACTACTGCCACAGCTATTATTAAATTATTTGTCAGCATATAAATCGCTAGGAGCAAGGCCAATTCCATTGTGAAGATATTTAAACTGTTGCCGTAGAGCAGTAACTGTTTAAACGATTTTGCATTATCAATATAGAACGTGCCCTTATCTGTAATATTAAAAAAATATGCATGAATTTATTTTTACAATGGGTTAAAATTTAAATCGTTAGAAAATTTAATATTTCGTTATTTGAAATATTAGATACAACTTTTCTTTAATTGTTTGCTTTAAAAATTTACTGTCATCTGACGCACTTACTTTCGGTTAAATAATTATCACATTCACAGTTCAATAATTTCTCAATGAAAGTTTTCTCCTTTATTATATAATCCATATCCTTGATAGCCTGTAAGCAATGAAAGTATATCGTATAAACTTTTACTTATGTACGAATGCTTTTACTACCGTTATTTTTAATATTTTGACTGACACTACACTTACGTGATCTATGAAAGCGCAAAGAAAGCGATTTAGATTATTGAAAGTGGCTGAGCTGCGTTCCATTGCCGCATCGATCGTATTGATTTCCTTCTGAAAATGTGCTTGAGATATGCTATAAGAGCGTTGATAAGGTGCCAGCAATTTCTCAAAGTAAACTCTGTCAAAAAATAATAACGATTAAAACCAGACATTTTATATATATGTATAGAAAAGTTAACTCTTATTATCATACAAGTAAACTATTATCATAAAGAGAGCCTTATCATACATATTTGCATTTGTAAAAGTTTAATAGTTTCCTTGTTTTGTGATTAGTTTGCATATATCTTCGGAAAATAGAACTTATTCTGTAAAATAGGCTGAAACGGCTACCAGAAGTAACGGTTTTACAAAATATACCCTTTTTTAATGAGTAAAAATCAGCTAAGATGTCAAGGGCAGTTAATCTGTATATAACAGCAAACATTTTGCCAAATGGCTTCTAACTTTTTCTGAAGGGTTTTCTCACTATTTAATAAAACTACATCCAACGAGTGCTGCTGAGGTTCAAATTAATTGTGAATCCGTGTAAAAATTTTGAAATTAAAAACGTCAAACTTTTCCTCAGTCCGTGGGTTCTAATCTCATTTTGCTTAGATCTTAGTCAATCAGTTCAATAATATACTTTTTCGTGAATATATCATTCTACAACAGCAATTTTATAATACAACGAACCAGTTAATTACACGTCGTGGTGATGGCTAAGCTTTCAGTAAGTTCCCCTTTTTTTATTTTACGGTGAGACTTATGGTTTAACAATACCTGCACTCAAATTCTATATATCAATACATACATGTCTCTCAATTGAGTTGTTTGTCTGATGACAGTTCTAAGAAGAAGATAGTACAGAAGACCAGTACCAACTAATTAACTCACTCGTTACGACTCTCCAATTTTATATTTAATCTACCAAGTTTATAATTAATTACACTCTGCTTTTCGGAAAGATCTTAACAACCCATCTGCGTATTACCATTGTTGATACAACAAGTATATATTTGACACTAATATTACTTGATCGATGATGTCAATATCTACAAAATAACTTATTATGGAACTTACCGCAAATTCAAAGGAGGCAAAATTATATAACTCTGCTGATCCGAATCGCCCAATAAACCTTTGCGACTGCAGCGATGCTGTGAGTTTCGATGCATCTGCGCCAACATCGAGTACATGTCAGTATCTGCAAAACCATTAGGAGATCTGCCATGTATATAGAATCCAAAGCTTTGCTCCAATAACATGAAAACAGATATATTTGACAGTGAACACAGATCGATGAATTTTTGCAGAGGATCACCAAAAAGCCGGTTCAAAATAAAATTACACACAAGTAATTGAGTGATGTAGATCAGAATGCTGATAGTAACAATGAAGAATAACTGTATAGCAAGATCTTGGCTAATCCAATGAGCTGTCAAGAAAACCTGTTAAGGGAAAATAGAAATTCAAATGCATTTATGACACACTCGTAAGTATATATGTGTTGTGAAAGGCCTTCAACCTGAGCCAATGGAAGCACCAATAGTCCCTGCCAAGCTGCAGAATGTTGCTGTTTCACACTCAAACGTATCCATTCATTTGCTATAAAAATTATGCGCCACGTCGAGACATTCTCAGTGGCAAATGTACGCACACTAGAGCACACTGAAGACGTCTCCAGATTATTCTTCAAAGTGAAGTGATTAGCCTCACAACTACGCGGACGCTCCCAGTCAATGAGAAACAGATCAAAGCGGCTGATTCGCCAAAAATGCACGCAAATAAATATCAACTTGAAATGAAAGAAAACTAATAAATGACATTCTCCCGTGCAACCAAGCAGCACTCGTGTGGATTACCTTTAAAAGAACGGCTACACAAATTAGAATTTCCAATGAGCGTTGATCGTCTTTCATGATAGGCAATGTGATCGCAACGGAGCGCTGTGTGAGAAATTGCATTGGATAGACGAGAGTGTAGAGTACAAAGCACAATAAAGATGCATTCGCCGCGTAAGAGCTGAAGTGCAACAGGAATACCAGCAAGCATGAGGATGGTGCACAGCATTCAATTGTCGCAGCTGTTGTGGTTGTTAAGGCATTATGGCGTTTCCTGTAGTTAAGCATTTGCAGCATAGCCATCGATAACGCGATGCATAAAAAAGCCGGTAGCATCACTTCAAACATGAACTTCCTTTGTGTGGGCTCTCCCATGCGCGCAAAGGTGATTTGCAATTTAAATGGATGCACTGCATTCAGTGTTGTATTGGCGCTCAGGTCAATATGCCGATAGCGCAGCTTCACCAGCGGTATACCAATTTGATTGCGATCATGAATTTCATAATGCATTTCGAAGGATACCACATATCTTATGCTATGGTAAAGTGAGAGCTTAAATTCGTCCTCATATTTCGACTGCTGATCATGAATGCGGGCATGTCGGGGTTGGGCTTCAATTAACTGGAACCGCTTTACCAATTGCCATTCTGCCGTTTGAGCACGCTGAAAATACAGAGGGTTCAGAATACCGTTATAACAAAGGAAAAAAAGAGTATCGCAAGTGATAACGGCTTAAAGTAAATGCTTCGTGGTTTCGTTGTCGACTTTCAGGTACGTCGACTTATTTTTTCAATGTTTCCGTGAATATGGCTTTCTAATATATATATATTTCCCAGAATTTCTAGGTGCAATACAGGGCCTTAATAAACAAATCATAATTCAGTTTTTTTAATGCTAAGAGTTTGATTTTTCTCTAGGAACGGCCTGTTTCTTGCAATTCTGCTTCAACTTGTCGCCTCCACGTATTGGCTGGTCTTACTCACCTCCCTTAAGGATTCGATTCTAATGCTATTATTATATTGTCGTCTTGGGGGGGATCCATTTCCATTTTCGGTGACGTATTTCATGGTGGACAGGTGTCTACTTATAGGTTTTTGGTTAAAATTTGGATTTATTAGCTCTGAGACTTCAGATTGAAATGATTAGACGAGAGGATGCAGTAGCCTGTACAAACATGTTCTAAGTGTCATAGACATCTCATGCTGAAGAAGTACAAAATCCGTGAAGACAATAGGAGAGCAAAATTTGGAGAAAAAGTACTTACATATGTATGTTAAATATTCCTATATATAGAGCTGTTAATGCATAAAGTATATATAATATATAAATATACTTTATGCATTAACAGCTCTATAAAGGCTAATCTCGCTATGCTGGACCATCCACCATTAAGTGCTGGCCCGGTTCCCATGCGTTCTAATTGGTTATTACGAATGATCAAAAGTCAAGGTCAAAGGTACAATACCAATTTGTTCCTCGATCAAAGTATACATACTTGTATAAACATATAAAAAACTTGACGATGGTTCTGTTGACTGTTAGAAGAGAAACGGAAATTTTGCAGTTTTTCCACGCATTACCCTTCATTTCATTTTATTTAAAATGCTCGCTCGTATATGGTATATCAAGTATCACACACTTACCAAATTCTCAGGTGATATGTCCTCAGTTAATATTGGCAGCACTTGTAAATCATATCTCGTTTCACTCGAAATATTCAAAAATAAACTCAAAAAGTTATTATTTGCGTAAATTTTAGCCAAATCAATCAGATTCTCCACAGTCAATTCGCAGCGAATCGGTTTGGTGAAGCGTGCAAATTGTATTTCCTGTTGCGAACTCCAAACGGCGGCATCGCTTTGAGCATGCATTTGGCATAAATTGACATGACTCATTTTGAATGTACCCCAACGACGCAAACTGCCATCCAAATGATAAGCAGTGCTGAAAAGTTGCAGCTGCTTCGGCTGAAACAGAAAATGCTTTTAATACACTTGTGTATTTATGTGCTCTTGTGTCTGTATATCAATCACTTGAGAGTCACGAGTGTTAAATGCAGTCGTACTCACACTAATACCCAGAGGCTCCGTTAACATTTTGGCGGTCTCTTTGCCTTTTTTATAGAACAACGACGGCTTCGTTGCCTGCAAGTGCTTGTCCATGCTGGCATACTTGATGGCCACATCGGAGACTTGGCTCAACAGAAACGCACTACAAGGTGAATTCTTATCCGCAGAGTAATGGGACATTATACAGAGATTCGCCAGTTGACTGCAGGCAGTGTTATTGCGTAAAGTCAAACAGAAGAAGACCACAAACTTCAGATCGCCAAAGTGCACGGCGTTAGCGCTGGTCGATTGCCAAAAGGAGTTGTATTTTAAATATGGTTTGAGCACTGCATTCGCAATGCAATAGTCCAGATAACGGTAGTTATATTTTAAATCGCAAATATTGCAAATGCCATTCGCATGGAAGCCGGCTGGTGTTAGGCGTATCGGGCTCGTTGAAGCAACCGAACGCGATGCGAAGTCGTGGTTGGTTTCAGTAAAATTAACTAATTTGAATTCACAATGTGTTTTACTGGAATTAGCTGTTACAAGTTGACAACCATTGTCGTTGGATAATAAGTCTGAGCATTTCTCTGCGCATAACGGATTGCGGCGTTGTGTGTCGTAGAGCGCAATAGTCCCATGATTGGCAGCGCACTCGCAGGAAAACTCTAAAATAAATAATAATAGTTATTATTATTTTTAATCGGGAAAGTTAGAGGAAAGGTTCTGTAACACTAAATACCATAAAGTAGGGATGAGTATGACATTTTGGTCTTTCAAAACAATTATAAAAATTGTAGGAGCAAGAACGAGATGACACGGGTAAAGCTTTATTCTACAAACGCTTGGAGGCACCTAAAATGTTGTAGCTCTGACGTTTTCAAAATCAAACTAGGTAACTTTCAATTAAGTATGAAAAAACAGTATTTGGTTCTACACTGGCTGCTTGGCGAAACTTTGTACAAAGAGCATTAAAGAAGATGCAATAGCTTTGATAGAATAGAGAGTATAGTTATTACTAGCACCACCTTCCATCATGGAATCAAGCAAAAGATCGCGATAGCTTTGAGCAAAATATATTGTGATTGTTTTATAGATCTCAAATAGGGTGAGCTATACCTCCTCTCTCATTGAAACGCCAACAAAGTAGGGCTGGTGTCAATTTGTGAATCGAAGAAACGATTCTCCCGCCATGGTGGAATTGTATAAAATTCGTTAGGCGATTTTAGCGCTTATCAAGACAAAGCTGATATGGGTACCAAGACATAGGGTCATCCGGGTAACTGATATTGTGGTACTTGAATACTTATAACGAAGCACTTTATAACTTCTAGTAATACATATTGTCTAATTTTGTATGGATACCTTACCACAGAGCTCATATATAAAACATTTTTGGCTTAGAAGAATACTACTACATGAGAGTTTCGTCACGAAGACGTAAATTTGTATAATCGAACTAATCAGGAAATGTACCAGTTTAAAAATTGTTTGCCTTAGAAGAAAGAGCGCTCAAATATTTGTTCTTGTATGAAAAACCTTTTTATTTGACAAGATATCTTTACGAAATTTGGAACGGATCATTATCTAGTAATAATAGAATCTCCGAAAAAATTGTTCAGATCGAATCACTAGAGCATAAAGCTCTCATACAAGCTGAATGATCGGAATCAAGTTCTTCTAAGGAACCTTTTGTATTTGTGAAGGGTATTATAGCTTCAGTGCAGCCGTTAATGTTTTTTCTGTTTTTTTTTTTTTAGCTTTTGCACTGGTATGAGGCTAGACAGACTTACCAAATCTGACCATTGACAACTCGTAGGACATCACCACGTAAAAAATACTAGTACCAATTACTTGAAATAAAACCGTCGGCTGATTAGCAGCGACTTGATTTGACTGCAGGGTAAGCAAGTACATCTGAGTTCACATAAATACATACCTACATATGTACGGTATGTATGGTATGTAGTACATAGCCCACTGCACATGTATGAACATTTTAAAAACAAATTTCATATTCTTAGGTAATTGGTTGTGTATTTGAATCTGTTTAATCAATACTTACTGTCTGGTGTTGATTGCAAGTTTTCCTCCTCCTTGCCGCAGGCAACACAAGAAAATGTGTCCAAATCATAAAATTCGTTATGTTTACATTCGCGCATGCGATGGAAATTGTATGTGGTGTGACTTGAATTGGCTAATAATAATGAGGTCTGGACGTTTCCGGGTCCCGATGGCAAAGCTGCTAACATTTGGAAGAACAAGTTTACGTAAAGGAAGCACCGTTTTATGAAAATCCACATTTTATTTCAATTTCACTATTACACTGCAATAACAGTGCTTTTTAATATTTTTTTTTAGTTTAAAAATTAAAATATTCTGACTTTTCAAACTGCAACAAATGTCACTTTGCTCGAGCGATGACAAAATGCTAACTAAATAATTTGAATGCCGGAAGCTTTGCACTAACCCCAAGCATACATACCATATACATATGTATGTATGTATAAAGCTAAGTCATAAGGACAACGAGGGTTACAAGGGAAACCGCAAGGTGCGTGCATATTTAACATCACTTCGTTAGTATATAGAAGTCGCCAGCAATGTGATAATTCAAATGAGGCACAGTATTTAAGTTTTGTTTACAAAGTTGCTATAGCTACCCTTACCACCGATTGCGGTATCGCATGCAAATCAGCGAAAGGATTTCGGTTTGCTCGCAACCCCCAATGTAGTTATGTACACATATACTGTTTATTGTAGAGACTTAAGTTCAAGATCCTGGCGTGCCTTAGTTTTCATACCCTGAACAGAGTATATTATGTTTGACACGAAGTTTGTAACACTCAGAAGGAAACGTCGGTGACCTTATAAAGTATATAAATGATCATTATATATATAAATGATAGCCCCTCATTTTTTGAGATATGGATCTGAAATTTTACACACGTCATTTTCTTTCCAATATCATGCTCATTGCTTCCAATAACAGATATCGGACCACTATAGCACATTTTTTTTTGCGGGTGAGGGGGTGAACTCTCTCTTCTCATTGAGAGATTTACATCTGCGCACCTGCGTCCAAGTCCGGCTTTTTTCTGCGTAACAAAATTGCTGCGAATTTCTAAACGTGGTAGCATTTCCCGTACTGAGCACTATTAGGCCAAGCCGCGCAGCCGTTTCTAGAATGCGCTTTCCTCTCGAATCCGTGTTTGACATACCCCACTCTTTCGAATTTAAGTCTCCGGCGATAATTAATTGACTTTCTTTAGACCTGGCAGTATCTTCCATATTTTCGAGCTTTTCTTGAAGTTCTTTTATGCTGTCGCTTGGCGTCAAGTAGCTGCTAATTACTGTGTAAACGTCGCTTTTGGCTCATACTATGCCGTTGCCGTTTCCTTTACCTATAGTGGTTGAGCTGCTATCTTCTAACCAGGTACCGCTCTCCTTTTTTTTATATTACCGACTGATGGTTAAATCGTTCTCCATCACCATTTGCGAGAGTAGTGCGTCAGCCTGTAGAATATACATTTACTTTGACAGTTCCTATACACCGTACATTTTGACGAGCCCGGGATATGGTCGACTTTTTCGCGCACTATAGCATGGAGCTACTATACAAACTGACCAATCAAAATTAAGTTCTTGTATGTAATACTTTCTTATTTGACAAGATATTCTCACGAAATTTAGCATAGATTATTGTTCAAGACAGCGCTACAATTTTCGAACAAATTGTTCAGATTGGACAACTATAATATAAAGCTGTCATAAAAACCGACCAATCGAAATCAAGATAAAGATTTTGCTATAAAAAACGCACCTGTGAAAGGTATTAAAGCTTGACAACCGAATTTAACGTTTTTTCTTGTTCTTATTACACTTGAACCTATATTTCCTTTATATGTATATATATCTGTTTAAAGTACAATGACCGTTAATTCTTCAGCCTAATTGCCATTAAATAATTCCTTATGCCATCAGTATACATTATTTTTATTCTCTGGACTATAACTTTTATAACAGAGCACTTGAAATAACTACTCACTAATAGTAATATTTGAATTAGCCAATTCAAGTTGAACTGGATTTATGAAACAATGATTTTTTTTTTCTATCTTAAGGGTAAGACCAGCCAATTTTTATGTAAAATTGACCAGAATTTGAGTCAGAAAATTTCTGTCTAGTCGTTTCTGAGGTATCGTGTAATATCGGCTTCTTACTAAGACGGTTAAATATTTGATTTTGACTGTCATTTGACGTTTTTCTTTCAGATAACTATTGGTTTCAACGGCGTTCAATCAGAGCATGCTAGATCGGTGCGTTTAGTGGTATGCAAAAAAAGGGGATTACTATTTATGGGACTCGTTTAATGCTGGGTATCTCGAGATTAGGTTTCATACGTAGAAGTACCATGAACGCAAATTTCACGCGCTTTATAAAACTTTTCTGTTATAATTTGTTAGTTTGACTGCTAAGATATTAAACAGAGGAAGAATTTTACTGTTGATGTCGTCGTTAATGATCAACTCCAGCTTAGTAAACAAAGCGATAAAGGCTTTAAGGTCACTAGGCTCCCGGTCACAGAAACATTTTCGACAACGAAAAGGCAGACAAGTTGGCTAAGTCAGGAGCCTTTATAGACGAAACCGAGGCAGAGACATTCAAAACTTCGAATGTCTAATTACAAAAAGCATAGCCGAGATAAGTAGTTTCATTGAGAGCACCAAATAGTTTGAACATAACGACGGAACGTGATATCAAGGTACAAGGTCCTACGATAGTGTATCAAAATGGCGCTCTTAGCGCAAATTGTGCCCGAAGGCGCAGCATTCTTACCTACCTACATAACTGGTATTTCATAAAGGTAATTGGTATTTCGTGGTAGCTACTAAATGTCAACAATTATAAGTCTGAGCTATGCACTTCGTCCAGTTGGTAAAAAGAGCGATATTAAGCTCACATGTCCAGGGTTAGATTTGTTGTAGAAGTGTCAGTAATCATGCAGCCCACCCTGCTGTATTATATTTCCACCAAATAGTTGACCTCTAAAACTAACATCTACAAGAAGTGGAATAAGAAACTACATATTTTTTATGAAATTAAAAACATATTTTTTTATTAAATTAAAAACATTTTTTATTAAATTAAAAACATATTTTTTTATTAAATTAAAAACAAATTTTTTTTATGAAATTAAAAACATATTTTTTTATTAAATTAAAAACA